AGATGCCGATCCCGACACCGACCCGGTAGCCGCAGCGGATTGGCTTTGGCTTCGCGTTGTCGGCATGATGATTAGCAGTATAGAGAATACACGGTAGCAGTAACAGACGAAACTGTCGAGTGATGAGCAATCCCCTAAGTGCAAGACCCTTTATAGGAGGGAAGAGGGAAGGGGCGGGGCGTACAGGCATACGGTGCCGGGGGTCAGGAGGTCAAAGTGCGAGTACACGACAAGAAAGTCCGATCCCATGAGGAAAAATGCGGAAAAAATGTAAACATTAGCGGCTTGTGATCCCTTTCCCCCTTAGTTCCCTTGAGTGCCAATCCCCGCTCGCGGAGTGATACAGAGAATGTTTAGATAACGGGAGGAAATTTTTATGAATGTTCATGAAACTGCCGTCGCTTTGTTTTGAGAGACGGCGGATCGCAAGTGAAAGCTATGCTATCGTTGGCAGCAAAACTTTTTTAACCACTCCTCACTAGACAAAAAATAGCTGCCGCTAGATGGCCACTGCTCCATTGCAGGCTAATAAACATATTCTTGTTAAAGGCCATCAGGCCCCGGGGCAAATTTCTGAACTTAGACTTTCGAGAATTTGAACGTCATGAAAGAAAAGTACGCGTACTCAAAGTGCATGGTTAAACGTTCTTCTCGCAAAAAGCGATGCCGGCTTGTTTCTCAGAGGCGGACAAGAAAACAAAAGGACCGTGGTCAAGTGCATGGTGCATCAGCGTTGCGAATTTGAAAACATTGGCAAAAACGGCCGCAAAATGCATGGTTCGCACCAGGGAAAAACGGGATGAGCTTTGCGTAAGTTTGGGGTTTGGAACAAAGGATGAGAAGTGCAGCTGTAGTGCAGCTGCATGAGGCAGGAGAAAAACGAACGATGAGAACGGCTAAAATTTTGAAACAAAAGGAAAAGAAAAGATTTGAACACCAAGGACAGGTGCCAGCAGGAGACCTACTAGCGGTGCATGTCATCGAATTTCCGCAAAACTTCTCCAGCCCACCTAGGCGCGAAAATGACAGGTAAATCAAAGAAAGTGCGAAAGCAATAAGCGAAGTGCAGATAGGATAAGTGACAGAAGTTAACAAATGGAAAAAAGGAACGACGGGCATCCAAACCTGGCCTCCCAGCATTTGCTGAGCTGCCCGGAAAAACGAGTTGATCAAGTTCATTCTTCCGTTTAGGCTCAGCAGAGCCGATAAGAAAGATCAAACTAACCTGCCTCCTTCGGCGTCAGAACTCGCTGCTACCAGTAATATGTGCGAGCTAACCACCTCGCTCGGACCGATTGCTTCTGATAGATAAGTCAAGAATATAGTCAGTTTTATTATTAATGCTGACTTCGAGATCAGTCCGGTCGAATGTCTTCAGCGGAGGCGTAGGGCCCAGAGGTGACGATCCGAAGGAGATCAAGGGGGACGGAGGCGCAGGCCGGAGGCGAGTCGTTGCAGCGGAGATCTCTCTCGAGGTCGATCGGAAGCCTTAAGTACGAAGCATCAGATGAGTCACTACAGTATGCTCTCGCACTATCTGCCTCTCATCCCGACATACTCTCTCGTGCCAGACGGCTACTTGTAAGGGAAACCGCCTGAAAAGGGGGACAAAGGAATAAATGGCTAGGGGGTTTACTAGTTGGTCTATTACCACCTTAATTAGTAGTTTTGATAATTAATGTGTTTTATGACTTTCTCGCGTCCTTTCACTCTCTTACAGATTACATAAGTAGTACATGCGACACTAACTGTATCAATGAGTAGTGATAGATATAGAAGTTAGGTAGGACTTTGGGTGCTATGTAGTTTTGAAACCCACTAAGTGTCCTCCAGCGCCCAGCCTGCATAACGTCAATTTGATGAACTCCCACACTGAGCGCTTGCGTGGCTGCCCCACCTCTGAAAGAGTGAGACGTTAGGTTGAACTGCCGCAAGTTGGCCTTGCTAAAAAGATGCATAAGCCTATCCCGAAGAGTAGAATTAGATAGGGGTAGCCCCGTAGATGCGGACTGAAATAGGAAAGTAGCCTTACCCACCGAGATGAGATACTTACTCCAAAGCTGAGCTTCCTCAGCGCTGAAGCGGAACGGTATGGTGGCTCCCTTTGAAAATTGGTCTGTCTTAGACTTATTTACTTTTACATGCCATACGCCGTTACCTATGTGCTTGACATCCGACGACCGCAAGTTCTGAGCCTCGCTGATTCTAAGCAGCGCTTTGAACTGAATAAGTGCTAGTGCAGCTGCTTGCGTAACCTTGGGGTCATTGCTTGCTATGCCCAAATGTATCAGCCGTGACATGTGCCTGGGCTGAATTTTAGCGCGATGTTGCCCGGGTGGTAAGGATCGCTTGACTGCCTGGAGAAGAGAATTTTGAATCTCCTTATCTACTCCCAGAAGTGGACCGCAGAAGTAGTTTAGCGCCGCTGTGACTGTGGGCATCGATCTATGCCTTCCTTCTGCCAAACATTTAGCCAGGTATAGATTCCTAGCTTGTGGAGTGGGAATCCTACTCATATATGGGCTGCTCCTCCATGCTTGGAATTTTTGCATCTCCGACGTGTACACTCTGATAGTAGATGGTGCCCTGTCCGAGTTGACAGCATGTATTATGGCATCACTGATGTGGAGCATTCCTAACTGTTCCGCCTTTACCCCCAGCGTTGCTGCTTCTTTGAATCTCGGTGCTGCAAAATATGAAATTACGTGGGTGGGTGTGCGGGCAAACCGCTCTTGGCTTGCGCAATAGCCTGGATGACTAGCCATCCGGGCTATCCAGGGATCACACGTCTTCGCACCAGAGATCACGCTCTTGCAAAACATCGCGTGATCTCATGTTGTTATGGTACAACATGTGATCCCTGGTACAACGTACTGTACCAATTTCACAATAGTTCAAAACATCACTTATGACCAGGGTGAAAATCGTGTCGAGTACGTGGTCGCAGAAGTACGACCCCCCCCCCCGAAATCGAGATCCTGGCACGACCCCCTAAAACAGAGCAAATTAATTCAATTAATTAATCAAAAAAAAAATCCTGCAAAATAATGTTATGGACGCCTCATCTTGTCATCTATGCACTGTCTTTCATCGCTGCACACTTTTGTGTATTTACTGAAATATCGACTCGAGGAAAGAGGCATTAACTTTGTGTGACCTCAAAGTCAGGTTCGTTCAGAAATGCACAGAAATCCTGAAGACACGGGGTTGCGATTCAATCTTGATTCTTGCTTGAGTATATCAAAACAGCCGAGTGTATCAAAGGCCGATTCAACGGCAGCTGCGGCGCGATTGTCACTGGGTCAGATTTGCTGAAATCCCGAAAAAAACCGTCGAAATCTACACCCTCGATGAAAAGGTTGCATTCCTCCATTTCATAACCTTTGAAGCAGTTTGAGGTAGGGTTAGATAGAGCTGGATTTCGCGTTTCCAAGAAGTATTGAAATTGCTCTGAAAGTCTTCCATGCAGAAAGATAGGGTCTCTCAAATTTCGTCGAGTAAACGTCGAGGACGCTGAAATTTTCACGCGAGTTTTTGCCACTTCAAGAGCAATATCTCTCTTAAAACGTGAGATCCTGAAAAAGTGAAGATAGTTTTGAAAAGCGGAAGGTTTGCGCTTTCTGATGGTCTTCTTAGCTTTCTTCTACATTTCCTAGTTGAGAAGATATCTGCGTCGAGTATGTATCGAGGACGGATCCGGCCACCTGAAAATCCGCTCCCTCCTTCACCATTGCAAGTGTAATTGTTGGCAACGCTTGAAATGGGTCTAGAAAACATCCTCCCAACATAAGCAATAGGAAAAGGGGCAATCGTCATCATCGAATTTTGTCTGAGTATAGGCCATGCATCCGACCTCACTCGAAGTTGCAGAATCGATTCGAAGGTGTCATATGATCATGACCAGTTGACAGAAGCTGCATTGTAGTAAACGCATTTCGTAACTCCTACAACCTAAAACAACTTCATTTGCCCAGGGCTTTTCCTTCACGGTTGTCGTTTTTGCGACAGGGTCCCTAACAACAGTGTCATTCTCAGCGAGGTATTAAGGGAGAAGGAGCGAGCGATAGGCAGAGGAGGTGCCTTTGCAGCGCGTGCGCACATGTGGCAGTCTTCTTTGCGGGGATGCACTTTCATTCTTTGTACTGCCTTCAAATACGCCCTTCTCATGAAGGTGGAGGAATGGAGCGACTGAACCTGCAAAGAAAATTTAATATCATTTTTTTTCAGATATTTTCATTTTCTGCTGCGCTATACCCTCTTACCTCTGCACCACGATACCACTGCTGTTACTGACCCCCAAGAGTACGACCCCCCATGACCCAGCCCAACAGGTACGACCCCCCTGTCGAGGATTTCCTCGACCGATATTCACCCTGCTTTTGACCTCTTGAAAAGAGCCACAGGAATTGCGGCGTAAAATCAGGCGTGTCGTGTAGTCACGGTGTACGCGCAAGGCACGCGACCGGACGTCGGACGGATCGGAGGTATACACCGAGATGCTCGCCTCTTTGAAAAAATTTCCGCGCCGTCGTTTTAAATCCAAGTGTCGCACTGGACGAGCTTTCAATTAGCTGGAGGAGCAGACCCGCATTTCTTTGTGTCAGATTTCGGTTGTTCTCTACGAATGTGGTCGTACGCACGAGAGTGCTGATAGGAAGCGTCTTTAGATAGTAACGTAATGTTCTCGAGGTATGGGAGTTTAGACACCACCACAACTGTACCTCTTTTTGAACCCACAAAAATCAATCATCGTTTTTCCTATCTATTGTAGCACTGACTTAGTATTTTGCGAGACCTTTTCTGAGGAAATTATAAAACATTAGTGTGTTGACGCTATTCCTCGTTGAATACACACTGGAGGCAACTCAGGGCAATTACCGGGGAGTTTTCGCTACGACTGCTTGGATTTTTGGGTTCTTCGTTCCAGTTAAGTTGTGAGCAAAGCCCATTATCCTTCGAAACATCCACAGCAGTGGTTATTAAGGGTGTTCCTGTCAGCGACCTCAGCAAAGGTAATGGCATCGATTTGACACGAACATAAGCGAGGAAATAGGACACAGTTGTTGTTAAATTTCAACATAATTTTTTTGACGTAAACTGCATTGGGGAAATAAATGGATGCTACTTACCAGAGCATCAGCCGGTGGATATTAGTGAGTGCCTATTGGTAACAATCAGGAAGTTGCCGTAAAATTTCACCGGATGAAGTATCCGCCAATATTCATGTATTTCGGTTAGGTGCTCTCAATATAGTGAAGTGCGCAAATCGTTCTGAATACAGTGACCTAGCTGTAAAAGGTTAGCCACCCTTGAAGGCAGAGCAATCTCAGCAATTCCCTTAAAATATAAGATATGTAGTACTCATCCTCAGTGGGGCTCAGTCGGTGGGAATGGCAGCACGCGACAGCCTGCGTTCCATCAGAGTTATGGAACGTTCAGTTTTAGGACTAACCAGGAAGGGCATCCAACTTCCCACGGAACTTTGAGATGAGACCCAGATATATCGATAGAGCTTCAAACGGGGCGCGGCGGGGGGGTATGTTACAAATATGGAATTAAAACTGCAAAATGAACCTGCCAAGGAAGTTGTGAGCAGTCAAAGTTGGCTGGAAGTAAAGCATTACACTAGCCTCCGGGCTTTCAGAGTCTCCGCGGAGCAGTGGTGGTGCCCTCGCTATTCACCCTGGAGGTCATAAGCTCTCCTCCCGTCGGAGCGCAAATTCCGAGAGCACTACCACTACTCCAAGGCGACTTTGAAAGCCCGGAGGCTAGTGTAATGCTTTACTTCCAGCCAACTTTGACTGCTCACAACTTCCTTGGCAGGTTCATTTTGCAGTTTTAGTTTCCATATTTGTAATCAGCGTTTGAAGCTCTATCGATATATCTGGGTCTCATCTCAAAGTTCCATGGGAAGTTGAATGCCTTTCCTGGTAAGCCCTAGAGGAGAAGAGGGGCTCTGAAGTGCGTAAGCAACTTTTCCTCTAAGAAGTTCGTCTTCCTCCGTAGCTCAGTCTCAGAAGTCTTCCTACTCTTCACCTTCCCCCGCCCTTTGCAGTGTGGAACATTACCGAACAAAAACCACAATTGAACAAAATAGACAAACATTAACTCTCAAGTAGTATCCATTTAGCAAAGTTCACTTTTCATTGTGAATCACGTCTACCTCCACTAACCCCCTCGCATCCCTTCACAATTCCCATAGTGAATCTAACACCATTATAGCTGGGAGAAGGCTCGCTCCATTGCGACATTGTTTAAACGAGCGCGCGCGGGAACATTTTCAAAGAGGCGAGCATCTCGGTGTATACCTCCGATCCGTCGGACGTCGTAAATATGAGTACTAGGATTTGTTGGTTATTCTTGATTGCGTTTTAATCCTCTTTTCGGAGGGTATCACCGCTACATTTACATTGATGCTGCTTTTGTTGTAGATATGCGGTTCTGGTCCGCACCTACGGGCCTATTCCCGTACTCATTCGATGAGGTGGTGTCAGTTTTCTGGGAAAGATATCCGAATTCGTTCGCAAAGCATATTGTCTCAGAAGACGTGCTCGAGCGAGTGATCACAGAACATACGATCATTACGAAGAAGCTCATTGTGAAACATGGTAAGTTCTGTTACTTTGAGCAGTTTTGTCAAAAATTTTCCCTAGGGCAGAGGGACTATTCGAATTCAGCCATGCGAGCATTTTCTTTGTGTGAATGCAAGGTTTCGGCATGAAGAGCTTTAAGCAACGGGTCGAGACTAGTTGCTAAGAGATATCCTTTCCTAGAGTGAGAGAAGGCTTCGGAGCCCAGGAGCCACGACACTGCCGCGACCCAAAAGTCCGCCACTAGGGTTCTGGGCCTTGCCTGTTGCTCTGTCAATCGCGGATTACGTGGCGTTTGCGCCTTCTCGCGTAGGACGTGCTCTCTCGCGTTTTCCCTCTCCTCGCAGCGCTGTGTCTCTCCGTCATACCACGGCCGACCTCACAAGGAAATTTCAGTGTTTTTTTATGGCACTTTTGCTTTTTCTCCCCACTAGCGTTCTCCATCGATTTTCTTATCTTGTTCTCGAACAAAATAAAACAGTTCGAACCGTGCGATGAAGGCTTGATTTGAAAGCCACACTAATTTTTGCATGGAGTATTTAGCGCGAAGAGGTTGATTGAGCTCGAAATTTTTCAATGGTCAAGCCATTTGGTTTATTTCATCACTGATGCATTTTTGGTGTTTTTTCAAGTTACATTACTTTCCGGTGCAAACACGGTGCAGTATCCTGCCCGACATAGGACGATCTACTAAACTGGGTGTGTTGTTGCCTTTCTTCTGGTCACTTAATTCTCCACTTACGTCCAACATTGGCTTCAGTTCGGTCCCCTTGTTCATCAAAGATGGAGATCGCTCAAGAAAGCGCAGAGAAGAGGGCGTAGGTATCATGTTGCGAATGAAAAATTTGGAAGCCTCTTCTTTCAAAGTGAGAACTGTAAAAATTCCATTCTATTCTAGCTGTGTGAGGCCGGACGCATAGTCGGTCGGACGACAGCAACGACTGCAAGTGTCGCACAGCATTGGGTGCGTATCGATCTGCGACACCTGCGGTCGGACGACAGCAACGACCGCAAGTGTCGCATAAACCGCGGTTGCAAATGGAAGGCGACGCGGTCACCCAATGCTAACCCAGACAACACGTGACTGCGCGTGATCGTATTTCGAAAGTCCCACTGTAGTGTGGGGGTACCCCCCAGGGGCCGGGTGCAGCAAGCCCCAACGAGGGGATGGGTCCCCAAAGTTCTGTGTCTCCACTCTGTCGATGACGCAACTCTCGTGGTTAAGAATAGGGGAAGAGTCCAGAGATGCAGAGTTTAGGGGACCCATCCCCTCGTTGGGGCTTGCTGCACCCGGCCCCAGGAGGCCACATCGCGCGGCAAGAAGGCCGAGTCGGCGGACGAGTCGCGGCGCGTGATGTGCGGTGAAGGACGTGCAATGGGACATTCTATTTAACTTGACGCGATTTCCCTAATACGCGCGCAACTCGTCCGCTGAATCGGCATTTTGCCGCGCGACGGGCCGCCTGTGGGGTACCCGTAGTGTGGAATAGTAGCTGCGTATTGATCTACGTCTACGACACTTACCGCGTCGCCTTCCATTTGCAACCGCGGTTTATGCGACACCTGCGGTCGTTGCTGTCGTCCGACCGACTATGCGTCCGGCCTGAGCTGGCATATGTGGTTCAAGAAAAAGCGGCTGAAAAGAGGATCTTCCAAGCAGCAAAAGTAACCCAGTTCCAGCAATGTGGGGCACTGCTGCTGGCATAAAGATATAATACATTTACAAACGGAACTCACTTTCATCTCATATTTGGTTGGCCCTGATATATTATTGATTGTTGATAGTATTGATCGGCTTTGTTTTGGAATAAATAAAGAACAGTACTAAGCAAAAGTTGCAAAGGTTTGATGTCGAGGTAGTGTTTCCGAAAGTTTTTGTCATCATCGTAGATTCTTTCAAAACAGGTGTTTTATGATTCCTTATGTCATGAATTGTAAGGCGATTTCTTCCTGAGGTGAAGGGAATAATAATGTGGTAAAACCCTAGGTACGGCTCCTTTATTTGAGAAGACACACATGTATTTATTTGATTGTGCACTTTTCGTTCCCGTTCCTGAGAATATGTACTATTTTTTTCACTGAACCATAGTTTATCGCACATTTAGGAAGCTCCATTCTCAAGAGAGTACCTCGCTGGTTATCGCGAATGACTGAAATAAGAACAGTGCCGGTAAGTTTTCTCATGAACGTGTCATCATTACAGAAAATTTACACCGCCCTTGCTTTACATTTTGCTTTATCAGGCGTTTGTTACCAATTGGGAAATGCGTTATAAAGGAGTACCAAGAATCAATGAGTTTATTTGGGCTCCCCCACTTTCTTCTCAGCGATTTGGGGCGCGGCCGCGGCGAGCGCGGCCGAGTCGATAGTGCCCGCGAACTGTGTGGGTAAATTTGAAAACGCATCATCACCACAGTTCGCGGGCACTATCGACTCGTCCGCGCTCGCGCGGTTTCATCCCCATAGCGGGGTTGTTGCCTGTTATTCGTCCTTTGAGAATAGAGGATTTGGTCGGGTTTGGCGATATTCGATACGTGATTTAACTGTGATCCATACTCGTGGTATGCGGCGCCTCTTGCAGCTACACCTCAACCTGCCCTAGATCATAGACTATATTTTTCATTCGGACTTCGAGTTTATCTGTGCATACACACCGTAAATTTTAACCGTTTTTTTATTAAAAGTGAAACAGTTCCTCAGGTGTCATTGTATAGAGCAAGACATGACTACCGTCAGGTTCTTAGATGCTCTGTGATAGCTGTAGGAGTGAAATATCTGTTACTGTCATTTAGGTAATCGAAGAAAGCGTGTACGACCGCCGAACAAAAACCTTGACGACTTATACGAGAAACGTGTCTCATAATGAATTGTTCGCCATGCATGAGCGATGTGTATATCGTCCAAGCATGGTAAGTGGCAACTGATTCTTCGCGTTTATCAAAGCGACTAATGAAGAGGGCACACCTTGACCCAACAGCGAGCAGTCGTATCCATACCAGATGATCGCTGTTTCTTATGTATAACTCTTTTCTTTCGCGATTTTTTCAACAGTTTCAATCAATTTTTAGCGAGAGTAGTAACGCTGTCAAGTTTAACAAGAGAATGTGTGCGCTGGGGATATCGCTTTTATCTTTTAGTACGTGTTGATTGTGAAGTATGTGAATAAGAAGAGGGCACATTCAGGACTCCCTGAATATTCCAATGACGGACATCATGCGCAGTGTCTACATTTCTATACAATGCGGTAGAATGAGTTCGGTCTATGAGAAGCTGATGTTACTCGGCTTCAAGAAGTCTGTGAGTTTCCTGTTAGCACGATTTTAAATAGCTTCATTCAAAGTCATCTCTCTCACGGTTGCGTGAATCAGACTCTCACTTTGGGATAGAATTTGTTTTACTCTGATTACTTTTAGATAAATTCTTTCACTTCATAGATTTATGTGCGGCGTTGGTCACGCAGCAATCAAATGCTTTGATTGTCAAGATATCAGGCGGATGCCTTGTGTTTCTTGCTTGAGAGAAATCACCTATTTTTTTGCTCCAACCAAACAAGTCCTGTATCTCCTGTCGCTCCGCTGTTCGTGCTCCTCGAGTGAGTGCGGATGCCAGTAACGTTCGCGCACGTCCCAGTCGCGTGCCATTTTTCGAATGTTCCTCCTCACTCGAAGAACTTGCAGGTCAACCCTCTTCCGTTTTTACGAATAGTTATAGTACGACCCTGTGGTGGGTGGTCGCCCTACATTCATTTGAAGTCCCAAGGGAGCCAGTCCGGTACCGCTCTGGTCCAGCGGTCTTCGCAAAATCGCATAACGTGTTGAGCTCACCTTATCTTCGCAAATCAAAACGGCAGCCTCCTTAATCTTTGGTTTTTGACGGAGTTCGGAGCTCTGCACTTGCGTGCTAGGGGAACTCGGGTCATATCTCCAGCGTCTTTCTCTCAGCCCGTTGTATGACGCTGACCGTCGTCCTTCCTGCACAGAATCCAGACCTCTGAGCCGTATGTTGATGCAGAGTAGACAGCAGGCTTGAAGAAGTTGGCGCAGAGCCGGATGTTCCTCCTCTTCTCCACAGCACCCTTACATTAGTGTGTTTGTATGCTCTCTTAGCCGCCCACTCGCTTTCTCGTGATCAGCTGTAGAGTTAAGTCATTCATCATGGAGATTGCTGAGCCTAAGTACACGTAGCAGGAGCACTCGGAGGTTGTTCGTCCCTTTGCGCGTTAGAAGCTAGTTCCTCATAGACATCATTTTCGTTCTGTTAACCCGAGGTCGACTTAGAGCGCTTTCATGATCCTCCGATCATAGCGATCACACATCATTATACACGTATCGATCTTTGGTGGAAGGACGATCGTTACTTCCTAATGCTTTGCGGTCGTTACGATTGAGCGACCGATTATGGAAGCGCCGTTATCACTCTCATCATCTAAATCAACCAGCATTCGTTCTGCTTAGTCTTCAAAACGTTGTCACCAAAGCAGAGCGAGAACCTGAGAAAAAGTCTATTTATCGTGCTTCCAATGACACGCGGTAAACATGGCTGTCGAAGAGATCAAAGTAGAAGCTGTGAATGAACATCTTCATCGCCCTTCTGGACGTGATGGCTGTTCATCCGGTTAACGGAGGTAGCTTGCTTGGTCTTATAGCGTGCTAGCTTTGAAACTCCGAAAATGCGAGCGAAAAGGTGACCTTCGTAGGCTCATTTTTTATTATCTTTTTTACAGGTTGTTAACACGGGTAAGGGCTTGATTGAAGTGCTGGAGCAACGATTTGGTGTACGAAACCTTTCTGCAGTTCCTAAAGAGAAGATGAAGATGATTCGTGACAAGCTCTTCAAATCTTCGTTAGTTTCGGAGCTGAAATGTGAAGATAAATGAGGTGTGTCTTGGTTTCGCTGCTAGAATTCTATATAGTTTTGTGCTAAATAGAGCCTCTTTTCTGTTAAGATTTCAGTAATGTACAAACTCGATTACGCACTGACGAAGGGAAGATCCCAGACCGAAGTTGTCATGGGTAACAAAACAAGCGATCAGGTGCATTTTCATGCCTGAGTCCCTAATTGCTATCCAAATTTGCAGAGCGGTTCTTTGAAAGTGGTTAGGAAATATCGGTCTCCTTTGGCAGAGCCGGACACCAACCTTGTCTCAACGTTCACGGGGGTACGTTGGACTAATGACGGGAGTTGTGGATTTGCTTTTACTCATTGATTCACTTCCGTTACTTGATTGATCATGAGCATTGTGATTCTCTACTCTGTTTCTTGCGACTCTCTTCAACAATCTCGCTTATACAGTTTATCAATTTCCTTCTGAATTTCTGCTTCGGCATGATCTCTCGAATGGATCTAAATATTAGCCTAGGTAGTGCGATTAAGTCATGCCATAGGTGGTGAGCTGAAAAAAAATCTGATCGAATCACAAAGAGAGTGGAGTCTGACTGGACTCGGACGATTCGAAAGCTCAGACGATTCGGAAGCTTCTTTGGATTGCAAAGCATCAGGATTGGTCAGTAGAACCTTATTAGAGCCTTGAACTGTATTCTCGTGTTTTTTTTTAGCTTAGTCTTTTGGATTTAGATAGGTTCGAGCGTTCTCATCTATTGAAGAGGCGTGGTAAAATTAAGTTGTTTTTGCTTGATTACTTCACAGTACCAGCATTCCATTTCAGTTGCTGGGCTTGATGGCACCTACATATAGATTAATACACTGCGGACAACCTGTTGTAAAAGCATCTCCGTATTTTTGTAACGTCTTTGAAAACGAATCTTCATTAATCCATCAATTTTGTCACTGACAAACTGGTGACACTTATTGTTTTCCCGCGCTGAATATGAGTGAAAACAATTCAAAAACATTGAAAATGTCATAAATCAGATAGAACCATACTCTTTCGTGTGGACTCGTGCGCCACCATGTGGTGCACGCGGTACGCAAGATGTTAATTTTACTCACTCTTATAAAATGGAAAGCAGTGCGTGTTTGGTTCTTGTCATTGATCATCATCTGCATTTAATAAAACCGCTACCGAGTATTTGTTTGTGTGTAGATGTCCACTTCGTCTACGCCTGAGCAGACTTTGTCTTTCCCGAAATATGTGGATGTTTTCAAATGGGAACTTTCACTTTATTCCTCCCTGCATTGGCTTAGCGCGATATCTAAGCTGATATAAGTGTCCTGTCAGAAGCCAGCAAGTATGGCAGCTTTCAACCAGGAAATCGAGAGTAAAAATTGAAAAAAAGAACGATTTCGAGCTCTGACAAGCAATTTTTTGTACAGCGATGAAGTAATCATGATAAAGTACTTGCCATAGCAAAGAATATACGTGACGAAGGGCTCTGAAACTATTAATGATTTCCTAGTATTCTAGTGTAGTGGTGTCAAAATTAACCATCAGTTTGTAAGAGAATTGTTCAGCAAATTTGGATGGCAGTTTGAGGCTGAATGTTCGGCGTTAATACATCCCTTGCTGATGCGCCAATTCGCCATTGACGTTGAATGGTAAGCGTGGTGGGCCTGCCTTAGATTTGCTCCCGGACTTGACCTTTGAAATATGCTTGTCGGGAAAGCAACTATCTTTGCCGATACATCAGGAAAAGGTATCAAGTGGTTTTGCCGATCTGTGATCTTCCCTTGTCAGTCACGTATGCATTACACAGAATTTGAGCATGTAATCAGAGCGGGCAATAGTTGCGAAGAATGATACGCCTCACTCATCACTTATTTCTTTTCACGTCTGCTTCTTTCTTGAATGTGTTATACTCTCTTGAGCTCTCTGATTACATGCTAAATTATATCATTTTATATTTGATTTCACTGCTGTTGTCTAAACCTCACATCGTTTTCGTTTTTGAAGTTATGGTTGTTTGATTTTGTGTTGTGATCAGTTTGCTGCCTTTTCGACATAGATTTCATTGTTTTACACAGTTGTTTGTTTCCAGCTTCTTTCTAAACTCTTTTTTTCGACTTTCGTTTCTGTTTTGCAACCCTTGGCACAATTGTCCTCATTCCACTCATTCTTTCAACTGCTCATCTGGTGAACACAACTTCATTTTTAATGCTGTGTAGAAAATTGACTCGTTTGTTGATGAATGGAGAATGCACTCATAAGATTTTATGAATATTTGGAAGGACATCGTGTTTGACTTTACGAGTATGGTACAGCCCATGGTACATGAGTTTGTTGGTTCACACATCGTTGACTGAAATCAGATTTCGCGATCGGAGCGACTGGCACCAGTTTGCTAAGAGCGATTTCCGCGATTGGTGCGATGCCGATATTGCTGGAATCGCGGAAATCGCAAAACAGTGCCCCACGACCGAACATGAGCTGGACATCTTCAAAGACCTGTCCCCAACAATAGCCCGCACATCCTATCTCGACCCCGTCATTATCCCCACTACAACCAAGCTTATCGTGGGGTTGGGATAGGTTAGACTGGGTTTAGGGTAAGAGTTGAAGTTAAAGAGGGTTAGGTCCGGTTGAGGAGTCTTCGGAAAGCCATCTTGTTTTCGGTCATCTACAGGGCAGAAGTCTGCAATTTCAGCGATTATCGCGATTACGGCAGGGTTCTTTGAAGCGACAGTTGAACGCGATTGTCACGCTTTCCGGACTGAAGTGCAAAGTTTACACAACCAAATTTACTCAACCTCAAATAAAATTAGCTCATTTGTCAATCTGTCTACCAGCACCCATAAGTTGGAGTTTGACTGAGGTAGTTGCCCCCACTTGTGTTAGCGAGCCACCGCGAATAGTTTCGAACAATAGAAGTTTTTTAAATGGAATATTAGTATCAAGCTGTTTCAAAAGTTCTTGCGTAATTACTTGGATCTCATGCCACAAGCTCCTTCAACAAATTCTAAAATATGTTCACGTAGGCTGTGGATAGGGCACACGTGTAGTAACTTATACCCGAATCCTGCCCACCATCGTCGCCTTCTTCGAGTTCAAAGTGAGGAAGGAAAAAAAGCCATGTTTTTAACGCTCTGACTTATGTTGCCAGCTATGAGGTATCAGAATGGATGGAGCTTCTTTTCTCGAGAGACTACAGCGTGGAGAAGAACTCCGTTTATGACGGCCATCGGCGTCAGATTTGGACAAGCTGCGCTCTCTCGTTGGAGCCAATCCGCACGGATTAACATGCTATGAGGCCACCGCACCTTGATTTTTTGATGCACAGTTCGCGGAGTTTCTCACTCTTTCTTAAAGGGGTTGAAGCTTGGCCAAAAATACCACAATGTCATGCTCAAACTTTTTTTTGAAGCCCTTTGAGGCAAGTTGTAGAAAAATCTCCCTCGTTACAGCTACATATGAATTCAGTCAAGTCTGATGTGTTCAACTGCAGAGACGCATGGTGAAACACTAACAGTTATCCTTAAAACTCAAAAAAGTATATCCACTCCACTATAACCGAGAACGCCTTCCGAAAATGACGCGACTCTAGATGTTGAGCTTAGCTGAAATGTTCCACTATATCGTGTAGCGGTGGTCAGCCTTCTTTCGAAGTACATCTGCTCGTCTTGCTTAGCAAACGTCCTTCGAAAGAAGGCTGACCACCGCTACATCTTGCGAGAAAAAATACGGTCCCCATATTTACCTCGAAGTCGACTTCGCTGCCTTTTTTCAGCTTCCAGCCTTCTGAAGGACTTTGGCAACTAGTCAGGGGCGGCATATCCTACAACAGCAACGATCGTAAGGCTGGTGTCAGAGTCGTGATCCGTCGCTGATTTTTGCGATTGCGCGATTCATGCGATTTTCGCGATTTGCGCGATTCACGCGACGGGTCACGGAAATCACAAGTGCCCGATCAATACTGCAAGGTGTTCTCCAATCCTGCCGCCACTTCTGCTTGATAGTGATGGCTGAATGACGACTGCTCATGATTCCACTTGTTTCATATTCAGTGTTTCAAATGTTCAAATGGGGCACTTGCAATTTTTGCGATCCGTCGCAGGTTTCGCGAAAATCGCGTGAATCGCGCAAATCGCGAAAATCTACCTCAGGCAAGTTCGACGATCGTTACGCATCTAATGCTGGGCGACAGTTACGGTCGTTGCTGTCAGACGACCGACTATGCATGCGCCCTCTTGATGGCGATGGTGCATATAGAGATCATAAATCGTGCATGTGCTTGAAATAGAGTAGCCACAAAAAGAGATTCGAACTACGCACGAACTTTTGAGACAACTTAGTGGTAAGTACGAAGTTTGGAAAGCGTGCAATATTGGAGGCATGTTTCACCGATGCTTCAGCTCAACTCAAGTGACACAGTCTCATCTCTGAGGATGGGTGTCGCAGATGACGTTTGGGTGTGGGTACTTAGGACAGAACGCGACTTTTTCGCTCTCGCAACCGACATCGCGCGGCAGGCTGGCGCACCCACAGCGATAAACAACTACGGTGTAGGAGAACGCGCGATTGGAGCACGATATTTGTGTCGGCTTTGATTGCGACAAGGAGTTTGAAGCTTAATAGCCATGGATTTGATAATGAACGAGGAAATGGTAACCAGAAGTGGACCGCTAACTAGCAGTGAAGAGGGAGGTAGGTTATTTTTGCAGAGATGGTAGAGCTTCTGGAGAACCTGGAGAGGAATGCGTGAGCATTTATGAGAATTAAAATTGACATAGTGGTTATTTGGCGGGATGATATGAATATTGACACAATATTTATCAATCGTGCCTCTTACCGTTATTCTTCTTTTCAAGCTTTGCTTATAGTGTGTGGGTACTAGGACAGACGCACTTTTTCGCTCATCGCAACCGACATCGCGTCGGCCAGGCTGGCGCCACCGCGAATCACTACTTATGGAAGACCGCGAATTGGAGCCTTTTTGAGGTGAAATTTGTAAGTTTACGGATTCCGTTACTGGGCCGCGCTCGACTTTATTAAAATGCGTGTAATCAGATAATTATGTCTATTATTGACACGTTCTGTGACTTACACATCCCGCATGATACACAAAGGGTGTTCTTATTACACGATCGTGAATGATGGTTATAGTGCGCTTGTCTGATTGTGTTATTGTTGTATAGATATCAAGCATAAGGGTATAATTTTACGGAACGCTTCTGTCCTCATCACGGATATGATACTCATTTTTGACGCTGGCGCCATTTGGGGCCGGGTGGCGCCACAACTGACTCCCACTAAATTCGCTGTAAACTTCTGTATAAGGGTTATTCAGGGTCCTGATTTGTTGTTAGCGCTACTCTTCCTGCTCGTATGTCCCCTCGCACTAGATTAGATCGCCAATAGACTAAGCGGAGTTGTAGGGTCCAAAGTGAGTAGCCTTCCTGTGTTACACACTCAATTTTCACACGGCGGTTTCCACTCCCGAGTTCATCCTCCTAGCTTAGCTGTAGCGCGGAGGTAAGAAGCTTGAAAAGAAAAGTATGCTTAACAGCACGATGGAAAATGACGGTGTTCAATTCATGATCCAGCGCCCCACATAACACTATGCAAAATTTAAGTTGTCTCATAAAGAGGCGATCAACCTATTCCTTCCAGCGTTCCAGAAGACCATCTGCAAAATAACCTACCTCCCTCTTCACTGCTAGTTAGCGGTCCACTTCTGGTTACCATTTCCTCGTTCATTATCAAATCCATGGCTATTAAGCTTCAAACTCCTTGTCGCAATCAAAGCCGACACAAATATCGCGCTCCAATCGCGCGTTCTTCTTATACCGTAGTTGTTTTCGCTGCGGGTGCGCCAGCCTGCCGCGCGATGTCGCGTTGCGAAGAGCGAAAAAGTCGCGTTCTGTCCTAAGTACCCACACCCGATGACGTTTTGATATAAACCACTAGGTGCAGTGCGGAAATCTTCGATGTATGTATTCCTTCGAGTACCGAAGGTCCTCTGAGGAAAAAATCTGGAAAAGAGACCATGCTGTCAAAGGGTGCTTGCTTGTTCATAGGGGTCCCCCAAGGAGGTGGACATACACTGCAATATGTTTTCAAGAAAGCTTTTTCGAGGACTTTTGTTCCCCGAAAGAATAGCTTACGGCTTTAAATATCACTGCGGTGAGGAGTTGCCGATGAGTAGGAACGAACGTGATTCACTGCTAAGTTATTATAGTTTTCAAGAAGAAATGAAGACCTTCAACAACGATTTTGTTAGCAGTTTCGAAAAACTATTCTGAAACATATACACAGAGTAAAATATTGGAAAAGGATTAATAAACAGGCCAAAAATTGGTAAAGGACCGATCATATGGATGAACATTGCTATCGAAAGGCGGATCACATGGAAGAGGATCCATAACGGGTGCACGAAAATTACTTGCGCAAAGTTGCAGGGCTTGTTCTGATGATGTTTTGCTGCGATCAGCGATCAATTTACATCTGTCTGTGCTAATGTATACTTTGGGAGGAAGGGGTGAGGTGAGTGGGGATGGAGGTGGGCGGCCGCCACTGCGGCGGCTTATTCACGCTCTTCAGTGCAAGGCAAGGAATCCGTGAGCCAGAAGGGAATGCAGGTAATTCGGGGAGGCGGTGGGGATGAAGGGAGTGGCATGCTTGAAAAGCTGGAATGCATGTGTCGAGGCTATCTCGCTGACCATGAGGGGTAGATTACCCTATCACCCATCAGTCTTTTGGTTAACATGGCCAATCGTCTGTTTATCAGGATCGGGTAGAGTAGCTTGATATCTGGTCGAGGGTGGGCGATGGTGGGGGGGGGGGGTGGGGGAAGGTCCGCACAGGGGAAGGAACGTAACGAACGGCAGTATTTTCATTAGTAAATTCTGGGAGGGAAGCTTTTGCCGTAGAGAACCTCAATGTGAGCTAAAACTAAGAACCTCTTAGGAGCGCCAATCACCTTTTTGTTTTGTCACTTCATGGGACGCGTTATCTTCAGCATTTGACCGAAGGAGCATGACGATAAGTATGAGTAAATTAAATTCAGCTTGCAGCTATGTCAAGGTCATAGACCTGCGCTTTCGAAGCATCACTACATAGATTGGACTTTCTGGTTTTCACAAGCTAATGCAACGAGGGATAGACATTCCGGGCTTCCGAAACTCAACAAAAATTGTGTGCGTGGTGCATCTCCGTATCAGAATC